GACCATCATGCCCCAGGCCCCCAACCCACTGACCATCGTGATCTGGATTCCCAACCCACTGACCATTGTGCCCCCGACCCCCAACCCATTGACCATCATGCCCCGGACCCCCAACCCACTGACCATCATGCCCCAGACCCCCAACCCACTGACCATTGTGCCCGGACCCCCAGCCCACTGACCATCATGCCCCAGACGCCCAACCCACTGACCATTGTGCTCTGGACTCTCAACCCACTGACCATTGTGCCCTGGACCCCCAGCTGCTGCGATGGTCCGATGCTATCACTGTCGGTCTCTCCAGAAAGTGAGTTTAAAAAAATGAAAAGTTGTCCATTTTTGCAGGAAGGATGAAAAAAGAAACATATTGTCTAAATGGTGAGAGGCTGTGGAGCTCGAGGATGCAGAGCGATCTGGGTGTCCTAGAGCACGAATGGCAGAAGGTCATGTTTTCCCCGAACCAGGAAGAGTGCTCGGTAACTGAGCGCCACCATTGGTCGAGTCCCCAGTTTGGACCAAGGTGATCATTTTGCCCTGACTTGTCAATTCACACCAGGTTTCAGCATTAGCAGGAGAAAAACTCCATTTATTGTTATCCAAAGTATTCTTTAACAAACGGCAGAGAAACAAAACGGATTATTAATTTGTGACTGCCTGGCTTAAACTTTAGGCCTTTAAAACCACAAATACACACACACGCTTGTTCACAAATAAGGGACAAATGACAGTTTGATCCATATTATGGTTGGAGAGGGAAAAAAAAGTTCTGAAGGTCCAAAGTCCAGATCAAAAGGAAAAATGAAATCTCACAGTGTTTTTTCTCTTCATAATGATTACCTGCTTTTTTTTGGAGAACAATAGTCAACTTTCAATTTGATAGTTGCTTAGTTGGACCTAAGACTTTGCGTGTGTTAGAATGCATCTTTTTAAGTTGCTGGGTTTTTTTCTGTCTTTTCACACACACAAACGCATGCACAGGAAAGATGTTTCTGGCTACATTCCTCTCACAAGTGTCTAACAAACTGTAGCTCAATCACTGATATCAGGCAGCTTTGCCTCAAATCAAAAGGTCACAGGGCCGCATTTGTGTCCATCATATTACAATCTCATAGCTCCAAAGGCAGTGCTGTCTTGTGCTAAAAATGTGTAGCACGCCATTTTTCAAGTTGCAAACCATTCCTAATCTTAATAGCACCGTGACTCAGTGGTTAGCACTGCTGCTTCACAGTGCCATGGATCTGGGTTCAATTCCACCCTCAGGCAACTGACTGTGTGGAGTTTGCACGTTCTCCATGTGCCTGTGTGGATTTCCTCTGGGTGCTCCGGTTTCCTGCCACAGTCCAAAGATGTGCAGGTTAGGGTGGATTGGCCATCCAATTGCCCCATAGTGCCCAGGGATGTGTAGTATAGGTGGATTAGCCATGGAAAATGCAGAGTTACAGGGATAGGGTAGGGTTGTGTCTGGTGGGATGCCCTTCAGAGGATTGGTGAGGACTTGATGGGCTGAATGGCCAGTTTCCGCACAGTAGGGATTGTATGATTTCTGTGACAATTTGCTTTAGCTATATAATAGTTTCTATTCCAGTTCACAGTGCAAAGATGTAGTTTCTTATAGTTGGTATGCAGGTACAACAAGTAATTAAGAAAGCTATAGAATGCTGTTATTTATTGTGAGAGGAAATTAACACAAATGTGTTGGTGGGGGTGCTATGCTTCCTCTATACAGGGCACAGGGGAAAAGCATCTGCTGAATTGGGTGCTCCATTGGTTTCCTTATTTAAGGAAGGAGGTAACTGCATTGGAGGTAGTTCACGGAAGGCTTAAGAAATGAATACTTTGAATGGGTTGTTGTTTTATGAGGAAGGCTTGGTCAGGCTAGACTTGTATCAGATGGAGAGTAGGAGGCCATCTGACTGAAATATTCAAATCCCGATGAACCTGAAGGTGCACGCGAACCACTCTATAAGATCATAAGATGTCATTATGATTGCAGGAAGGAGTTTGAATAAGCATGTGGGGCTAAAGAAACTAAAGGATGGGGGCGAGAAACTGGAACAAGCTATCGATTTGGATGATCAGCCATGATCGTACTGAATGGTAGAAC